CTCCAGTCTGGGCGACAGAGTGAGACTCCAACTCAAAAAAAAAAAAAAAGAGAGAGAGAATTGAAGGAGACATTAGATCATAATGCCAAAATCGTTCACCAGTTTTTTGTTTATTATAAAGATATGGGGTACAAGTCAGGGTTGGGGACATAAGTAGCGTATGTGCAGGCAAAGTTCAGGCCTCTATCTGGGCCTCATTTCCCTGGTTTAGGACCAGGTACCCTTTGTGTTGTTCGGTGCCCCCCCTTCCTCCCTCCCCTGGCAGTGTCCTGCGACGGCCGGTCCCTCCCTTGGGCTTTTGTGATTAACGTTCAGGTCCCACTTATGCGCGCAAACATGTGGCATTCGGTTCTTTGTTTCTGTGATAGTTCGCTAAGATCCAAAGTTAAGAAAATTCAAGGCCAGGATCGGTGGCTCAGCCTGCAATCCCAGCATTTTGGGAGACCGGGGCGAGTGGATTGCCTGAGCCTGTGGGTTCGAGACCCGCCCGGGCAACTTGGTGAGACCTCATCTCTACAACAAATCAAAAATTAGCGGGACGTGGTAGCGCGCCTGTAGTTCCAGCTACTTGGAAGGCTGAGGCGGAAGGATGGCCAGAGCCCAGCAGGTCGAGGCTGCGGTGGCCGGGAGCAGCCACTGCACTCCAGTCTGGGCGACAGAGGGAGACTCCAACTCAAAAAAAAAAAGGAAATTCTAGGTTTACAATTTTACCCCGAAAGTTATGGGACCAAGACACATCCTTTAAAAGAAACTTGTCAGTTTGGCAACAGAAAATAACCATCCAGATTAGAAATAAAGTATTTTTTAAATTTAATTTTTATAATAGAAGCGATCCTCCCACCTTGGCCTTCCAAAGTGCTGGGATTACAGGCATGAGTCACCACACCTGGCCTGAGATAGAGATGTAGGGTGTGGATGTACTGGTCTATTTCTGAAAATATTAAATTAGAAGGTTGAGGTAAAGAAGAGACTTGTTAGCGATTCCTTTCAGGGTATCTATATGTACTAGATACAAACAATAAACGTTAGACTAATACCATGTTAGGAATATTAGTCACTGGGGAGTAATTGAAAATCAACATACATCACAAACAAGCATTACATTACTAACTACTAAACAAGCCAGGTCCCTTAGGTTAGAAGACTCAGTCACCTTTTTTTCTTTTTGAGTCAGGTTGTCACTCTGTCACCCATCTTGGAGTGTAGTGGCACAATCACGGCTCACTGCAGCCTCAACCTTCTGGGCTCAAGAGATCCTCCCACCTCAGCCTCCTGAGTAGCTGCAGCTACAGGCATGCACCACCATGCCCAGCTGATTTTTAATTTTTTTTGTAAAGACAAGGGCTAGCTATGTTGCCCACCTGGTCTTAAACTCTTGGGTTCAGGCGGTCCTCTTGCCTTGGCATCCCAAAGTCCTGGTATTATAGGCATGAGGCACCACGCCCAGTCAGACTGTCATTTCTTTGAGCAAGTCCCTTCTGCTCAAAGAAAGGTAATTAAAAGAAATATATCATTGGAGGGTTGAATGATGAGGTCTAGCCAGATTTTACCCTAAAAATTTAGCCCTAACAAGAGGAATTAAATTATGTAGATACCCTGGCAACCCCTTCCAATCCCCTCCCACTGTGGGAGTTTTTCTGTCTTCTTAGTAAATCCTGCTTTACAAAAAAATTATAGCCGGGTTTGGTGGCTCAGCCTGTAATCCCGCGCCTTTGGGAGGCTGAGGTGAGTGGATTGCCTGGGCCCACAGGTTCAAGACCCGCCTGGGCAACTTAGCGAGACCTCATCTCTACAATAAATCAAAAAAAAATTAGCCGGGCGTGGTAGCGCACGCCTGTAGTTCCAGCTACTTGGAAGGCTGAGGCAGAAGGATCGCCGGAGCCCAATGGGTTGAGGCTACAGTGGCCGGGAGCAGCCACTGCACTCCAGCCTGGGCAATAGAGTGAGACTCCAACTCAAAAAAAAAAAAAAAAATTATGTAGATGCCCTTAAAAATATTTTCAGCCAGATGCGGTGGCTCATGCCTGTAAAACCAGCACTTAAGGAGGCAGAGGTGAGAGGATTACCTGAGCCCAGGAGTTTGAGACCAGCCTAGATAACATGGTGAGACCTTGTCTCCACAATAAATCAAAAAAATTAGCTGGTCGAGGCTGTGGTGGCCGTGAGCATGCCACTGCACTCCAGCCTGGATGATAAAGTGAGACTACAACTTAAAAAAGAAAAAAAAGATATTTTCAGCTAGGCGCGGTGGCACATGCCTGTAATTCCAGCACTTTGGGAGGTGGAGGTGAGAGGATTGCTTGAGTCCAGGGGTTCAAGACCAGCCTGGGCAACATGGTGAGACCCATCTCTACAATAAATAAAAAAAAAATTAGCCAGACATAATGGGTACGCGTCTGCGGGCCAAGGCTGTGGTGGCCATGACCATGCCACTGCAGTCCAACCTGGGTGACAGAGTGAGACTCCAACTCAAAAAAAAAAAAAAGAAAAGAATATTTTCTAGCATCTTTACACAGCTTTCCCTAAGTGGCCTCTTGAGCCCAAACCAGATTTTAGTTATATGACAGGACAGCAATTGTGAGAATCAGTTATGTTTAATAATAAAACTATCCAAAAACATATGAATACAGTCTATTCCCTCTCTCATTCATTCTTTGTAGAAAAAGAAAACCCCAGATCCTGAAAACTAAAGCAAGTCAGGGAAGTCTGAAAAGATACTCGGCTTTGACCCCATGTTTTGGATCTAAGACTTATGAATCTCATTTTCTGGCTTTGATCTGATTGTCAGTGGGGATGACCTTGCCCAAGTGATGGCCCACAGAAAGGCCAAATTTATTGTTTTTCTGCTCATCCTGTACCTCTTTTTTCATTAAGAACCCCGCCTGGAAGTTTAAGTCAAAGAGGTTGCTTGGAGGGAAATACAGTGGTGTCTCATCCCAAATTTTCTCCAGACGTTTCTTCCATCCTTCCAGGATCTGAATCCGGGCGTCCGCTGGAGTGTGCCCAATGCTATATGTCAGCTGAGGCTCTAAGACTTGGAAGCCACAGAAATGCAGAGTGCCACTCTGAGGATACACAAAGCGCAGAGGTAAGTTACGGAGCCGATCTTAAGCAGTGGTGCTGAAAATATCCAAAGCTGGTCGAGGCTTCCCAGGAAGACACTCCCATCAGAAGGCCTGAGGGACCCTGAAGAATCAGTTCACAGCTACACTCCCTCACCTTCTGCCCTCTCTCCCTAGCTGTTACCTATTTTAGCCTGTTCCACTGGGGTCTTCTTTAAAGGCATAAAACCTTGCAAGTGTGCCAAGTGGGATCACCTGCCAAGAAGACCGGAAATTCTGCTACATTAGAGAGAGCCTTGGCTTCTCGGCAGCTGACTCGTGCATTCCTCAGTCTCTCTGTACTAGAGGAGGAGCCTTGACAAATGACTCTTATGAGTGCCATTCAGGTGATCTTCTCTCCTGTCCCCTCCTTAAGGGACAGCATCATCTCAAGAATCCACTGACCACCAAAAAGGCCACCTCAATCAGTTTTACTCACCTCCACACCAGAGGGATGAAATCATGCCTTTTTTTTTCTTTTTCTCTTTTGAGACAGGGTCTCATTCAGGCTAGAATACAGTGGTGTAATCATAGCTCATTGCAGCCTCGACCTCCTGGGATCAAGGGATCCTCCTGCCTCAGCCTCCCAAGTAGGTAGGAGTACAAGCATGTGCTACTGCACTTGGCTAATTTTTTCTTATTTTTTTTAGAGATAGGGTCGCACTATGTTGCCCAGGCAGGTCTCGAACTACTGGCCTTAAGCGATCCTCCTGCCTCACCCTCCCAAAGTGCTGAGATTGCAGGCATAAGCCACTGTGCCTCGCCTGAATCATTTCTTAAATTGTCTTGGGCTCTAGTCGTCGGTGAGACTTCACTAGCAACTTGGAGAAGGACAGGTAGACGGGAGAGAGTTGTCTGTCATTTGGCAAGAACCAGGGCTGGTGGCTGTACAAACTGAGGGTGAACTGCATTAGTCCTTAGACAGGGGAGAATGCTGCTTGAACATGTGCACATCTAGGTGTGTTATATAAACACAGGCGCCTGGGCAGGCAGGCAAGCTCCTAAAGAAGCTCCCTGTCATTCGGAATCATGCTGTGCATTCACCTTCACTCCTCAGGTCTGTTCTCTGCCACTGTCTTGAGGTTTCGGACCCCTTAGAAAGCTCAATTAATGAATTCCCCTGCAGTTTCCTTGCAAAAGAGGTACCTGAATTGGCCAGAGAATGACATTCATGTCCCCGTGGACGCCCTGCAGAGAGTACATGGAGCCGCTGCCACCGGTGGTGATGGAAAGCACGGCCTTTTTATTCTGTAAAAGAAAAAGAAAACAAACTTCATTCCCCTCCACATCACTCAGTGACAAGTAGTTAATGAAACAGCCCCGGGGAAAAGAACACACAAGTGCACCCTATTTGCTGTGCATATGACTTCGTACCTTGGCTCCTCGGAGCCGCACAGCATGACTCTCTAAAAGCACCAGCCTGGGGCAAGCTGCAAATTCCACACCCTGCATGTTGCCAGTCAGGGCAAGGCCCTCACGATACCCAGAGTCAGTGTGGGCTGCCCAGGTGCAGTTATTTGTTGTTTCTGAGTGTTACCGCACAGGCTGGGCATGGAAGAGGAGAAGATCTTTAATCTACAAGGTCTCAAAGTGTTTCTTGTGTATTTGGATCTCCGAAAAACAGACTTTCTTTATTATGGACAATTTCAAACATACATAAACAGCTGGGTGCAGTGACCTACATATGTAATCCCAGCACTTTGGGAGGTGGAGGCAAGAGAATGGCCTGAACCCAGGGATTCGAGACCAGCTTGGGCAACTTGGCAAGACCTCGTCTCTACGATAAAAAATAGATAAAATAGTTGAGTGTGGTGACTCACACCTGTAATCTCAGTACTTTGGGAGGTGGAGACAAGAGGATTACCTGAGCCCACGGGTTTGAGACCAGCCTGGGCAACATGGCGAGACCTCGTCTCTACAACAAATGAAAAAATTAACTGGGCATGGTAGCACATGTCTGTGGAACATGTGATGGAAGGATGGAACTTGGAACGCTGAGATGGAAGGATCGCTTGAGCCTAGCAGGTCGAGGCTGTGGAGAATGTGAGCATGCTACTGCACTCCAGCCTGGGAGACAGACTGAGACTCTGACTTAAAAAAAAACAGAAAAAAGAAATGCCAGGCTCTATGGCTCACATCTGTAGTCCCACCACTTTGGGAGGCGAAGGAAGGAAGATTGCTTGAGCTCAGGAGGTCAGGTTGCAGAGAACTATGACTGAACCATAGCACTCTAGCATGGGCAACAGAATGAGCCTCCATCTTAAACAAAAAACAAACACACACACACAACACAAAAACAGGCCAGCCACAGTGGCTTACACCTGTAATCCCAGCACTTTGAGAGGCCGAGGTGGGAGGATTGCTTGAGTCCAGGAGTTCGAGATCAGCCTGGGAAACATAGCAAGACTTCATCTCTGCAGTAAATAGAAAAATTAGCCTGGCATGGTGGCATGCGCCTCTAGTCCCAGCTCCTCTGGAGGCTGAAGCGGGAAGGCCACCTGAGCCCAGGAAGTCAAAATCCTGATTGTGCCATTGCACTCCAGCCTGGGCAACAGAGTGAAAGCCTGACACAAAAATGAAAAAAATAAAAATAAGAACAAAAAATTGCCACAAGGCAGACTCTACCCAGAAGCCAGCTGTTAGAAAACAGAATGAGCCGGGCTCGGTGGCTCAGCCTGTAATCCCGCGCCTTTGGGAGGCTGAGGTGAGTGGATTGCCTGAGCCCGTGGGTTCGAGACCTGCCTGGGCAACTTGGCGAGTCCTCATCTCTACAATAAATCAAAATGAGCCAGGTATGGTAGCGCCGCGCCTGTAGTTCCAGCTACTCGGAAGGCTGAGGCGGAAGGATTGCCGGAGCCTAGCAGGTCGAGGCTGCGGTGGCCGGGAGCGGCCACTGCACTCCAGTCAGGGTGACAGAGTGAGACTCCAACTCAAAAAAAGAAAACAGAATGATTCACCTACCCGGAAGGGTCCCTTGTCATACATGGCAGCATACGTGTAAGCAAACTCTCCTACGAGCACCCGCTCGAACCAGCCTTTCAGAATGGCAGGGACTCCAAACCACTGCAGGGGGAACTGTGGGACAGAAGACATCGTAGAGGTCAGATCGGGGTCAGTCCAGCACAAAAGGTGGTTCCAGGAGCTGCCGCCATGATCGCACAGTGGGAAACCTCTCTTTGGACCCTTGTCATTCCTTTTGGAGGAGCCAGTACATTTAAGAAAAGAGAAGCCAGCCGGGCTCAGTGGCTCAGCCTGTAATCCCAGCACTTTGGGAGGCCAAGGGGAGTGGATTGCCTGAGCCCACGGGTTTGAGACCAGACTGGGCAACTTGGCGAGACCTCGTCTCTACAATAAATCAAAAATTAGCTGGGCATGGTAGCACACCCAGCTACTTGGAAGGCTGAGGCAGAAGGATCACCAGAGCCCAGCAGGGCGAGGCTGCGGTGGCCGGGAACATGCCACTGCACTCCCGTCTGGGTGACAGAGTGAGACTCCAACTCAAAAAAAAAAAAAGGAGAGCCGGGCTCAGTGGCTCAACCTGTAATCCCGTGCCTTTGGGAGGCTGAGGTGAGTGGATTGCCTGAGCCTGCAGGTTCGAGACCCACCTGGGCAACTTGGTGAGACCTCATCTCTACAATAAATCCACAAAAAATCAGCCAGGCGTGGTAGCGCATGCCTGTAATTCCGGCTACTTGGAAGACTGAGGTGGAAGGATCGCCGGAGCCCAGCAGGATGAGGCTGCGGTGGCCGGGAGCAGCCACTGCACTCCAGTCTGGGTGACAGAGTGAGACTCCAACTCAAAAAAAAAAAAGGAGAAGCCAGGCACAGTGGCTCATGCCTGTAATCCCAGCACTTTGGGAGGCGGAGGCGAGAGGACTCCTAAGTTCAGGGGTTTGAGACCAGCCTAGGCAACTTGGCAAGACCTTGCCTCTACAATAAATCAAAAAATTAGCCAAGTAGGGTGGCGCACACCTCTGGTTCCAGCTACTCGGTAAGCTGAGGCAGAAGGATTGCCTGAGCCCAGCAGGTTGAGGCTGTGGTGGGGTGGCCATGAGTATGCCACTGCACTCCAGCCTGGGTGACAGAGTAAGACTCCAACTCAAAAAAAAAAAAAAAGAGAGAGAAAATTATCGTCCTTACAGGACAATGTCTGCCAATTTGACACTCCTGCTTCTACCTAAAAATACAAATATTGGGTGGGTCTGAATAAAGCCCCATGCAAACAAGACTGTTTCTATGAAATCACGTTTGGCAGCAAAGTCTAAACAGCAAGGATTGTAGTTAAGGTTCACTTCAGGGTGTTGCCTAAATCAATATTTTCTCAAGAACTTGCTTTAGTAGATGCGGTATCAAAAGTATGACTATCCTTTGTGTTCACAATGTAAAATCTTATCATTTCCCACAATGCAAACTAATGACTAATATTACTAAAGTTTATTGGGGAGTTTCTTTGAGAGTCTTGACTGACCTCTTATCCTGATAAAAGGCAAGAAAGACCAGGATTTCTTCTTATCTTTGATTCATGATTTAAAAATATAAAACTGGGACAAGAAACCTGTAAGACTTAATAGCTTTCTCCAATATTTGAAGGATTGTTGACCCACAGATAAGGGGCTGAGGAGGGTAGGGCTTTAGAAAAAACAGGCTTGGCCGGGCGCTGTGGCTCATGCCTGTAATTTCAACACTTTGGGAGACTGACATGAAAGGATTGCTTGAGTCCTGAAGTTCGAGACCAGCCTGGGCAATGTGCTAAGACATCGTCTCTACAATAAACAAACAAAAAATTAGCTGGGTATGATGGTGCACGCCTGTAGTCTCAGCTACTTGGAAGGCTGAAGCAGAAGGATCGCCTGAGCCCAGCAGGTCAAGGTTGTAGTAGCTGTGAGCATACCACTGCACTCCAGCCTGGGCGACAGAGTGAGACTCCAACTCAAAAAAAAAAAAAAGTCTCCTTTGGGGCACTAGCTAATGGCACGTGATTTCAATTCATATCAACAGGTCTTGAGAGTAGAATAAAGGACCTTAAGGATTTGAAGTTTTGCAGCTGATTAAGTGTGAAAATCACAGCTGCTCTGCTTGTGAAATTTCCAGCATCATATACATCCCATATTCAATACCTTTCTTTTTTTTTTTTTTTTTTTGCGTTGGAGTCTCATTCACTACAGCCTCAGCCTGCTGGGCTTAGGCGATCCTTCCACCTCAGCCTTCCAAGTAACTGGAACTACAGATGCGAGCTACCACGCCTGGCTAATTTTTTTTTTATTTATTGTAGAGATGAGGTCCCACTATTTTGCCCAGGTTGGTCTTGAACCCCTGGGCTCAGGTACTCCTCTCGCCTCCACCTCCCAAAGTGCTGGGATTACAGGGTTGAGCCACTGTGCCCAGCCTATGTTCAATATCAAAAGGCTGACTGGAATTGGTAAAAGCCAAGTCCTTGAGGACAGTGGCACTTACAGGAACAATGACTGACAAGACACACACACAATTCCAGTATTGTCTGCTAAACGGGAAGGCAGCGTCCCCAAGGAGAAAGGCCAAGGTTTGTTGCTGGAACAATTCAGCAAGGTTTCAAAGACCCTTTCGGCTGGGAAGCTACAGCAGCAGACAAGTCAATGTCTCATGGGTCACTCCACAAAGTATCTGGGATTCTTACGGAGATAGGGGAGAACTCTAAACTTTGAAAGAGTCCACCAGGAATCACTAACTGAAGGGAAGTTTTGGCACGTGGGGAAAGACAAGTTCAAGGCTTCTATATATATCATCGTTGCAGTGATCGTTACATATGCAAAGAAGAAGACACGAGATCCCCAATATCTATAAACCTGTGTGATGGGCATCTTTGATATAATTACCCTTGTTTACAGAGAAGGCAGTAATGTGAGTGGCTGTTCTAAGATCCCGTAGCTGACTAAAAAAAAGGAAAAGAATTTTTAAAAAATATGATCCCAAACAAAAAGTGATCCCATAGCTAATTAGGTGACAAGTCTAGCACAATAAGAACGCAAGTGTCCCCAACACTTCTTCTGATGTCCTTCCATGCCTGAAATATCACAAGGTCTGCATCTTCCAGCTTCTTTTGTTCAGCCACAATATCCGGGCTCAGACGACCTTCTTTATAAGCGAGAACAGACTCCACAGGATACTGAAAGTTCTCGGGGTCCTTCAGTTTACCTGCAGAGAGGAATAAGAGGCTGAGGCCAGAGGGGCCACATGGCTGGGCCAGAGAACCCACATGAGTGATATCCACAAAGAGCTTGTAAAAGCGGGGAGGAGGAGCACCGACCTGTGATGTCCTTTCTGGAAACGATGGGATTAAAGTTCATGGCATAGAGGTCCGACTGGGCCACCTCCCATCCTTTCTTCTTCAAAGCCTCTACAGCAGCCTCCTTCATTGCATAGTTGAAGGACGTCCTCTCTGAGTGAGCCAGGACGATCAGTGCTTTTCTCACTATTGAGACACACACAAGGCACATGGAGAAAACCCATTATCTGCCAGCAAAGCCTCAGCTACAGGGGAGCAGGGTCTGTAAAGGAAGGGGTGGCTTTGCTACACAATAGGTTATTGCAATCCAACACCTGCAGCCAGAAATGTATTTTTTCCTTCAAAGGAAACCAATAATCAAAGGAGGCATTTAAATCAGTGGCTGATTTAACAGATGGCGCCGGCATACTTAATTAGCTACCTGCATGAAACAAAAATGATTCTCCTAGAAAACTAAGACAGGTTGAAAAACCCAAATCTGCAAATCTGAAATCTGAAATGTTCCAAGACTCCAAAATTTTTTTTTTAGAGACTGGGTCTCACTCTGTCACCCAGGATGGAGTGCAGAGGTGCAATCATAGCTCACCGCAGCCTCAAACTCCTGGATTCAAGAGATCTTCCTGCCTCAGCCTCCTGAGTAGCTAGGACTACAGGCACAGGCCACCATGCTCAGCTATATTTTTTCATTTTTTGTAGACACGAGGTCTTGCTATGTTGCCCAGGATGGTCTTGAACTCCTGGTCTCAAGCAATCCTCCCACCTTGGCCTCTCAAACTGCTGGGATTACGGGTGTGAGTCTCCACGCCTAACCAAAAATCCAAAACTTTTTTGGACACTGACATGACACCCAAAGGAAATGCTCATTGGAGCTTTTCTGATTTTAGATATTTTAATTTGGGATGCTCAAATTGGTAAATATAATGCAAATGTCAAAATCTTAAAAGTCTGAAATTCAAAACACTTCTTTCTGTTCTCAACTATTTCCAATGAGGGATACTCAATCTGAACAGACGTCAGAAGTCAGTACAGCTGGGTGTGGTGGCTCATGCCAGTAATCTCAGCAATTTGGGAGGCGGTATTGCCTGAGCCCAGGAGTTACAGACCAGTCTGAGCAACAAGGCAAGACCTTGTCTCTACAATAAATCAAAAAATTAGCCAGGCATGGTGACGTGCGCCTGTAGCTCCAGCTGCTTGGAAGGTTGAGGCAGAAGGATCGCCTGAGCCCAGAAGGTTGAGGTTGCGGTGGCCATGAGTGTGCCATTGTACTCCAACCTGGGCAACAGAGTGAGACTCCGACTCAAAAAAGAAAAAAGTCAGTATCTGTGGATAGTTACAGGAAGGGTACAAAACGAACTTTTGGGGCACTGGCAGTGTTGTATCTTGACCTGAGTGCTAAACACACAAGTTTGTGGTTTGTGAATATCTACTTAGAGCTGGGTTCGTGGCTCAGTCTGTAATCCCGCGCTTTGGGAGGCTGAGGTGAGTGGACTGCCTGAGTCCA